CTATAAACCAAATATACATACATGTATATATATATGTATTTTATTGCCATAATCACTATGATAAAAAAACCAAATCATTAACTTTGACATAAAATTCAATTATGTATACTATTTCTATTAATATCTGAATTCTGCTTTACACAATGGTATAGTTTCTTATAAACAATTTGGTTAATATTTTGATGTTTACATTAACATCAGATGTAAAATTAATTACAAAGTAAAATATTATATAGGAACAATACTGATAATTTTCTGATGAGGTATTTGGAACATAACAGGCAAATATTATTTAAAGCTGCAGTATTAGTGCCCTGTTCGTGAAACAAAAAGATAGAGGAATAATAAATTTTTAACATATGTTTTGATCAAAGGACCATTTACTCTATTTATTGCAACTTTGAAAATGACCGTTTAGTAAAAAAATATGTTACAGATTTCTCATTAAACTAATTAAAACCTGCACGAATGTTTTGCATTATTCCTTTATGTTTTTACCAATAACAAGTAGGTAAAGTTTTAATGATAATAATTAACACCAAGATTATTAAAATGCTTCTAAATATACCTTTTAATTACTACTGCTTAATGGTGAACCAGATTGTGGTATATAATTAATCCAAGAAAATTTATAGTCAACCCTATCATGATATCGGATTCCTGATAAGATCAATAGATTAATTAAATTCCAAATTTCGGTCATCTAATGACGCAAGCACGTTAATTACAGGAGATCCGGGAAATTTTTGTATTAAAACAATATTAAGGCGATGAATCGCAATGAACGTTGTGTATTGAATAATCCACGGGAAAACTGGGTCAGGCAACCAACGTAATAAAATTAAACTATAAAATCTTTTAGTTTACACATCCTGCTAATGCGCTATTCGCTTATAAAGCTTCTACTGTATAACATGCTAAAAGAACCAAATTTAGATGACCAGATTTTGATTTGAATACAAAAATTACTCTCTTTTCGTTAAGTACCAAAACGTAGAAACAAAGGATTGCGTAGTAAAACCAACGCTAAATGGAACTGATTTTCCTTATTAAATTAGAATGAGTTAAAAGAGAAATCAATGTGGACTGCCGTAACTCAATTTTATTTAAACACAATTATTACTGATGAAGTGGATGGAGTATTTCAAAGCCTTTTACTGAAACTCTACATAGTTTTCGACGTTAATATCTTTATCAAGAGTATTACACGTATCTCCTTTACCCTGATAACCCCTTTGATGTAATTAAATGCCACCATACCGATGCCGAGTTAAGAAGCAGCAACCTTATTATTTAGGGATGGTCCTGGTACCTGGTTTGGATCTGGCACTTTTTTAGGATCCGGCAGGATAACTGATAATGGCGCCAAGTACCCAGCAATGCAAGAGAAAAAAGAAAAAACAACCACCAGTAATAATAATTGAATATGTATAACAAAAAATATCATCATCATAAGGTTGTCAGTCCTAAGACTGGTTGGACTCGCACCTCCACTCTTTCCTATCTTGAGGTAATCTTCATATTTCCCTAAAACTAGAACAACCCATATCCTTAACCGTCATCTAATCTAGATCTACCTCCACCCCTCCTAACATCCGTTTCAACCTCTAATATGTCTCTGACTAGACCTTCATGCCTGAGAATTAGTTATTAAGATTGTATTGGGATAGGTCGTTTGTCCTAACTTGTGTTATTTATTGATTATTAAATTATTTCTTATCAATATAATTCTTGTTTTTCAACTCAACCAAAAAGAATTAAAAATTCGTTGGTTTAGTGTAACGACTTTTTGATCGGTTCTTAAAGATTTATTTGGAACGTTGCAAGGGTGGTCTGTAATAGAAAGCTCGCTATAGATACAGCATCCTGTATATTATTTTAGTCTATGTTTTTCGATGTTCCTCACAAATTATTATATTTCCGAATGCTAGCTCTACCTTCTTATTAAATTTATTATACTCAAGTTACCGTCTAATCATCCGTAATTGATTCGATAGCATTTCCTTTTAACTAACTAGTATTATTTCCAGATCTTTTTTGAGAACTTCTTAGAGAGATTGTCATTATTTTATTTGGCACATTTAAAATTCAATAACATGCGCAAGCAAAGGTAAACAGTTCATCTTACAAACAAATAATATTTAACTTTTATTTATTCATCCTCAATAACGATCCAACGGTATTTTAGTTTAAAGCTACCTATTTTCTTCATTTAACATTCTTTGTTTTACGGAAAGGAGATAATATTTGAAAAAAGCATGAGTAAGATGATACACAAGCAAAGAATCTTAATCTGTACATTTTAAATATAAGGTTGCCGTGTCCTTGCGATGGCTTACGTGACTGAAGATCATATTGGTGTTTCAGGTTTGCAAGAGCAAATGAAGTGAATTTTTTCATCAGGTGTATATGCATGTAGATATAGCGTATAAAATATTAATTGGTATCGGACACTAAAAAATTAAGACATACTTACGATGTGGTATTATACTTTAACACATTAGTATAATGAAAATAAAAACAAGTTTTTCTGTAGAACCTGGTTCAAAAGGAGAACGAAATAAATTTCATTTTCCAATTCTTGCAAGGTTAATATTAATCTGTGGAGTTACAGTACTATTTTACTAAGGAAAAGAAACAAAGAACAGCTTTCGGGAAGTTGGTAAAGTCTAAGTAATTCGCTCATAATTAGTTGCGACATGAATAAAACAATTACCGAAAAGTAGATAATTTTACTTTCATTGCGCGAAAAGTAGAAAAATCAATTTAAATTCAGTCTCTTTTGGTGCATAGATAACTTTTTAAGTACGTATCAAAAAAAATGAAGAGAAAATTGTTACTATCCAGCGAGTTTCTTCTGCGTACTTCTTAAATTAGTTCTACTAGACCACAATACGTTTACAACTAAATAATTTTTATCTACAGATTCACTTCTGTATAGGTATCCAGTAGAGAAATCTGAAAGGGCCCAATAACATACCATTTTTACTCACTCTAGTTCGTGAAACATGAGTTGAAAGACCCCGTGCGAAAATTCCGCAGTTATTAGTGAAGGATAACACAAAAAAAAAATGAAGAAACATGAACATGAGCTGGGTTAAAGGCAGGTACTTACTTCCACTGTCAGTCGATAGTTTCATCTTGTCGAGCGAAGTTGAATCTCGATCGTTATAAACGAGAACGCCGGATGCATTACTTCTGTAGGCATTTTCCACCTTGATCTCGAAGTTGCATCGACCTCTCTTGATCAGGGCGATCCAAGGTTCTCCTCTTGGCAACCTTCGATCCGAACGTGTGCTCTTGAAAGGTAACTGACAACCCGTGTGATCGTGCGGGTTCGCCTCGGACGATACATGAACTAAATAACCAAACGCAGGACCGATATTGCCACCACCGTATCGACCGGCTTCCGATTGCTCCCATATCCAACCGATTTCCGTTTTGTACGTTACATTAATATACGCATACGAATCTGGAGCATCGTCACTAAATTGCTTACCACTATCACCAAACGCCGTGTGATGTAACGCTGAACCCGAGGGTATGTCTTCTGGTGCCGCCGTCGACGTTACCGACGAAAACATGTGCGAAAGTGTGAAAATGAGGGCCATTGTCCTACCACTGNTAAAATCAACATAAAAATCATTTCTTTGATTTCAATTTTTATACAACTTTAACAATATCGTAGTTCTTAAGTAGATTAGGTATTAGCTGATTGGGCTCAGTTACCTACCATATTTGGTCAGCTTCAAAAAAAATTAATCGATCAGAAATAAAACGGTAATGTGTACTTTGTAAACATGTCTCGCTTTTAATCCAAAATAAACAGCTGTAACACTTCCTCAATGCTAAGTGCATATTGTTCAAACAACGAATCTGGAGCATCGTCACTAAATTGCTTACCACTATCACCAAACGCCGTGTGATGTAACGCTGAACCCGAGGGTATGTCTTCTGGTGCCGACGTCGACGTTACCGACGAAAACATGTGCGAAAGTGTGAAAATGAGGGCCATTGTCCTACCACTGGCGATGATGCATATGGCAAATTGCATTATCTGAAATTATAAAAATTCTCCTTGAGACATAACAGAAAATGTGAACTTTTAAACGGCGTTAAGAAAATACATTAAAACCTTCAACTACAAGCTGAAAGTTTAATTCACTTTTCATCGCCGTGTACATAATTGAGGTTTTTCTTAATGATAAACAAGAAACATGTACAAATTCAGTCAAAATAAAACTATTCGCAAAAAAATGAATAATTATTACAATACCAAACAAAAAGTACCTAAGTCCAGTTAAAAGTTTCCAATGTATTGTTAGAAGGGTGATTAAAAAACAAAAGGCCAATTTAAGTTTATTATCTCCAATTTCTTTGAACGATGTATGGAGACAGAAGAGCACAACGTTCTGTTATTATACTTTATACATATGTACTTAAAAGGAAAAGCTAACGGAGTTAATACGAGCAATGCTCCTAATTAGTAAATCACTTTTTATAACTTGAAATACTAATTTTAAAATACCTTAGACTAAATGCAGCACCACATTAGCAACTGACATGCTTTTTAATACTGACGATATTTATTTTTTTGCGTAAATTGTAATGCAAGTGGAAAACAAACAGGAAAAATGTAGTAATTGTACGTGTACCATTAATTTTGGAGAATTTAGAACAATAAAATATTTAATCCTTTAAGTAAGTAAACATCGGTCTATAGAGATAACAGTTTTATACATATCTACACATTTGTCTAAAAGCCAGGTACCGAAAGAGAATCTATCTACACAATTTATAACTTTTGCGATTTTTACGAGTAGAAAAAGGCCAATGTAACTTATCTTTTCTTTGTTTACCCATCCACAATATTACACCGCTATTATCCTCGAAAATATTAAGATTAAGCACCAGGTTAAGTACCTACTGTATAAATATATAGTAAAATACGTAACGATAAATTATTAAGGTCACCAATCTTTACAGAAAAGGTTCGTGGTTAATTGTTTCCTTATTAATTTATGTGCGTACATTTAGGACAATTCAGAAAACGGTTTTATGTCGGCTATAAAACAAATTTTATTGCAACAGGAAGTACATCAAAGTTTATCCCATTTCATCCATTCACCTTTGGATTATAAAAGGTACTTTATTAGCACTTCCTACTTTCACGCCCAAAATGGATTGCAAATATTAACGTTATCATTTAAGTTTTTTGTATTATTAATAAATTAACTTTGTGTTTTAAACACATTTTTCACCAAAACAACAGTTAATATTTATTTAAATAGAAAAGCCCCCCTAATAATATTTGTTTATTATTTTATTAAAGACTGTACCACTGTAGGGATAGATGTGCAAGGGCAAAAGATTAGTATGCTTAGATTTGCAGATGATATAGCAGTATTAGCATCTAGCAAGGAGGACCTAGAGATAGCTTTAAATAAAATGGAAGCGGTACTGACAGATCAGTACTGTATGAAAATAAATAAAAGTAAAACTAAAATACTGATATGCAAGGGAAGAAAAAGTAGGGAAAGAGCGAATATAAAGATAGGAGACGAAAAATTAGAAGAAGTGGCTGATTTTAGATACCTAGGAAGTCAGATAAGTGAGGATGGAAGGAGTAGTAGGGATATAAAGCAGAGGATAGCGCAGGGTCGTGTCGCCTTTAATAAAAAGAAGTCACTTCTATGCTCGCGAACGGTTAATTTAGAAATTCGAAAAAGGTTGTTAAAGGTGTATGTTTGGAGCACGGCGTTGTACGGGTGCGAAACATGGACAGTGGGAGCGGCGGAAAAGAAAAGGTTAGAAGCGTTCGAAATGTGGTGTTATAGGCGGATGATGAGGATATCGTGGGTAGAAAAGGTTAGAAATGAAGAGGTATTGGAAAGAATAGGAGAACAGAGGACTCTATGGAAGTCAATAAAAAATAGGCGAGATAGGTTGGTAGGACACCTTCTCAGGCATGAAGGTCTAGTCAGAGACATATTAGAGGCAGAAACAGGAGTTAGGAGGGGTAGAGGTAGACCTAGATTAGATTACTGTTCGCAAATAGTTAAGGATGTGGGCTGTTCTAGTTTTAGGGAAATGCGAAGTTTAGCTCAGGATAGGAAAGAGTGGAGGTACGTGTCCAACCAGTCTTAGGACTGATGACCTTATGATGATGATGATTATTTTTGTGTTTTTTTGTGTCTTCCAGATTTCTACAATAATTATTGAGCACTTTATACTGCAAGTATGAATTTAATAAATATAAACCAATAGCGATTTCTTTTATCCTTTAATATTTTATAATCCAACATATCATTACTGACTGCTATTTTTACTTCAGTCGAAAATAGCATCGGAAAACACAGAGAAAGCTTATTGTATTTCACTCGAAGACAATCAATTATATTGTCACTTGGTAACCTTTAGTATCAAAAAATTTTGGAAAGGAAGTCTTTGCTAAAATTAGTGCTTCGCTTTGTAAACATGTCTCGCTTTTAATCCAAAATAAACAGCTGTAACACTTCCTCAATGCTAAGTGCATATTGTTCAAACATAATTAGATATTAGGTGCCTATATTACACTTCTTCATTATCATAGCGTTTTAGCATTCACAGACGTTCTTTTAGAAACAAATATGTGTAACAAAATCGAATACATACATAAATCTGATATATCCCAGTCACCAAACGAAAAGGGAATAGCTTTATCTATAATTAAACAATCTTTAACTTTTAAGAAAAACAATGATTTCGATAGAAAATATAATATTTTTCTCTAATAATTTTTATCCTACATCATCAGCATATCGTAATCACCATATGTTATGTAGATAATCTCAACATGTACGAATGTAAGTACGATAAAAATTGACTAGTTTTCCCGGAAATTTTCACAGCTAAATGCTCTGTTGGCTTGTTACAGTTGATTATATCAGCAACTACTGCCGACAATCTATACGTACTATCGATACGATAACTGACACAATGGAAGAAATCACTTGGTTATCGAATCTATTCTAACTAGATTTAAAAAAATTAAAAAAGTTTCAGTTTATTAGATTACATGGGTAGGTATTTCGTAATAATTTATATTAACTTTTTTTAAAAATCGACATTATGTATCTACTAACGTGCGTAAACTTGTAAATATGGACAAGACTATTGGAGCTTTAGCAATAATAATAGACATGCCACCGCAAACTTTTTATTAAGAGTGCGTCCTCGAAAGCTTCATCAGTTATTTCAAAATTAGTTGGTTTAATTGAAATTTTTGTTTACGCAAGTTAATTGGAGATGAAGTCAGAGCAAAGTTTTTTCATTACAGGCAATTTTCTTCAGTTCCTGCCTATGAAAACGAAACAGAGCTATTTTTCGGTTTGTAAAGAAGTTATGCGAAAATGGTCGCACACGTCAACTCTCGTACGGAGGTCGAAGGTTTTACGTTGTAAAATTACGGCAATTTTCTGGACAGGGCGCGAACCACCCCAAAATTTCAAACGGTAAGAACCACAAGACTTTTGGAATGATCTTATGGTGATACCAATATTTGTTATTATTTGAAAATATTTCACTCGTCTGGTGGATTTGGATCGGAAATCGAATGGATGTTAACCCATCACAGCTATCGATCTGATCATCGCATCGCCATAAAAGCCACTAGTTACATCGATCGATAAATAATTCCCATACAGAAAATGTTTTTAAATGTCTGAGCAGAACCGTAGATATGATATCCAATTTGATCCTGGTAGCTTACTTTTTTTCGATCGAAAGTCGATATTAAGAATTAGACAGACTTAAACGTAATGATTATTAATTTAATTCTTAATTTTCTTACAGTTTCACATTTCGTAATGATTTTAGATAGCGAAAAAGTTACTTATTGTTGTTATTACATGAATTTAAAACTAAAATTCCACTAGGGAAACTTTAATGTTAATAAAACTTACCCACTACCTTTCAACACTTTTATCAATAACAGTTGCTCATCAGAATAACAAAAATATAATCTTCAAGACTTCTACATTGAACAACCAATTTTGATAGGTAGATTTCCTTGTGGACAATAATAATTTCTAGTAGTATGTGAGGTGCCCATTTACGAAATAGATTATTAAAATGTTTTCTTTCCCAATAAATCGATACAAAATACTTACAAATACTAAACAATTTTATTTCATTGAAAGTAAAACAGACATTACAGGTATCTAAATAGACAATCACAATTTTATGATTAATCTTTACGATCAATTACGTTCAAAAGGCTCGTTCTTTTGCAAAACCTTTTTACAGGCACTCGTTGTCCACATAATATGTAATCTAATTATTGCTCCTTTTTTCCCCGTGACCTTTTAAGTACAAGGGTACAACAAGGTGACGTGTTTATTCTATAATCAAGGTTGATGAATTGAGCAAAAAGTTTAGTATGATTTAATAATAATTCGACACTCGAACAAAATTTATTTGAAAGTACCTACAAGTACTATAGCCTAAGGAAACCTACTGTATACTATACTAAATTCATAAGGTCAATTACATTGAAGTTATTTATTTATCACTCATCCGTATAACAAACAATAATAGTATTTATGTGTACCCTAACAATAAATTATTGTTTACGAAATAATATTGAACCACTAAATTGGAATAAATCGTACTACGTAGTTAAACCTTTCCTAAGAACAACTACTGCACTGCCGATGAATTGAAATCCAGGATAATAAAACCACAATTTTACATTATAACTTCACAGTTCAACATATGTTGTTATACTGAATAGATTCGACCCTAACTTGACGAATATCCATATCAAAATGAAAAATAAACATCATTATTTTCACACATTTAAAAAGTAACAGTTGTTTCGCCCCTCTTGACTTATTCTTAAGACTACTACTAGTAGTACTAAGTACTCATAGTCTGAAGAAGCCAAGAGAGGCAAAACTTTTCAAATAAAAAGTGTGTAAAAATCTTTATCTTTTGTTATTTCTGGCATAATTATGGACACTGATGATGTTGTAAGTACTGACTACACATATAATTATAGGAATTATTAATTAATACACAATAATGCATCACGTAGAAAACAGTAAACGACGATAAGTCATCTACATATTGTTTGATATTATGAATTACTTGTAATATAATTTAGAATGAATCATTATGAAAAATAATTAATTCCAACGATGCAAAAATAGATCATAATTTGCTTAAGAAATTATTACCAACTTATTTCGTAAGTGCTACCGTATAGTTTCATGTAATAAAATTATTGTTTCTATTAATAACCACAAGTGGTTTTCATGGTAGGTTTGTGTTGATAGCAGACCATTGCGCAAACTCTTTTCTCAAACAAAAGGAATATTGCAAATATTTTTTTATGGGCAATAAGCGTGTTTAACCACTGAATTTTTAATGCATAATGACTTCAAAGAAGAGCGCGGAAGCAGAAAAGCAATACAAAATCGCTAAAACATTATTTACTGTTTTCTTAAGTTGTACAATGAATTTTGAAAATATTCTGAAAAGTCAACTGATTTTGCAAAATGAGCATTAGCTAAATGAAATATTGCACAAAAGAAACATGAAAGTTCACCATTAATACATTTGAAATCTAATAGAAACTAAATCGGTAATTAATGGAAAGGATGTAGGGCAGTATCAAACCTTTTAACTAATTAGTGTCACAATTTACTTATCTTTAATTTACACAACAGTAAATGTGCAGCTGTAACAAAACTACCACACATATCAATGACCTCAAATCCAAAATATCAATTTACCTATTTGAAACAAGTCTGTACAAAATGTAGATGAGAATGGGATAATTGGGAACGGATGTCCTTATTACTTTCGCACATCGCCGTTTGTTTGATAAAATCAACATAAAAATCATTACATGGATTTCAATTTTTATACAACTTTAACAATATCGTAGTTCTCAAGTAGATTAGGTATTAGCTGATTGGGTTCAGTTACCTACCATATTTGGTCAGCTTCAAAAAAAATAATCGATCAGAAATAAAACGGTAATGTGTACTTAAACTAATCGAAGCAAAAATATGAACAAAGTGCACAAGATAAAGGACAAAGACCTCTAGTTACTTTTAAAGGTGACCGAAGTATTTACTGGCCATCATGTTCGCGTGACTGTTAAAGGAAAAGTTATCGGAACTGCTGGTGATTCAGACTAACAGTGACAAAGAAAAACCGCGATAGAATAGAATAGGTACTAGTGAAAAGTAGAAATAAACAAATTAATTTTTATAAACCAGTATAATAGCTAGACTATGTTTGCGTCTAAAAACATATTGTGTTTAAATTACCTTTTTCTTTTATTACTATAATATAAAGAAAATGCTCTGTTTAATAAGCTTGTGAACAGGGAGAATTGTGAACGAAAGCTCCAAGAATTTTTAAATTATTTGTTAATCTACGTGAATTTTGTAACTCAATAAAGATTATGATTTGAGGATTTTCTACTTGAATCTCCACAAGATTTGCGTGTGCTTTTACATAATCTGTTACTGTAAAAGTTTAAGTATTAATGAAGAATTAAGATTGCCTTGTTCATAAATTTGAAGAATTACCAATTAGAATTATGTAGGTATATGAAACGTTAAGATTGAAAAATGAAGAAAATGTTTACTTTTATTCCTTGAGTTCGGTTTTACTAATTCTGTGATATCAGATCAACAGTGAACACAATGGGCGACGCTAATTTGTCTTTAGCTAAGCCTGACCACGATATATTTCTGTTGAAAAGGAAATATCGATAAACAGATTGATGGGATGACTAAATGATGCCTAGTAAATCTGGTAATTGCAAATTTATTTATGAAGGACTTGGAACAAACCACATGTAAACCTAGAGTGTGGTCCAGATATGTCAATGAATCATTTCACTATTCCGAACTGTATCGGGAGGTTATTAGAGATACAGAAACGTAAAAAACACTTTAACTGAATAGAAGAATCACAAAAAATTAATCGTTCTTGGGTTCCGGTGCTAAAAACCAACGAACAGAAAAAAGCCAATTAACCATGAAACGAGTCAACTAGAGACCCTGAACATCGATAAGCCTAAATATAAATATGCACTCCAAAACATCCCTCGCCAGTTTGCGCTGAATCAATCGTCGACGAAACGTCTAGAAGAAAAAACTCCAAAGGACGACCAACAAATCCAAAACTAATATCGCATTGGACAACGGCCGCGAATGCCTTACATAATTTATTCTACAAACTTTTTGGTAATTAATAATATTGCAGCTTTTTAAAAAAATTACACCCCAATCTCTGCATAATCAATAATAAGACGTATATAGTAATTCTGATTAGTCGTAAACAGTGAGGCATTTGTACGATTATCGATGATAAGTATTAGCATTTGTTTGAAGTTTAAATATGTCATTTACTTTATTTAGATAAATGGATTTAGTTTGGTAGGTTGCATGTATTAGGTAGTTGAGTTGGTGTTTTGCTTAACAATTTTCATCTTCGGAATCTTCAGAGTTTGATGAAGTCAAATCCTAACATAGACATTATTTTAAATACATATGTGCACTTTTATTTTACGATAAATAGGGTGTATATAACAGTTATACAGCATATTGCTGTTCTCGAATTACATTAGAGATTATCTGTTTCGAGAAGTTTGTCTTTGAAAAACTTTTTCTACTTTTTATTATCTTTAAGAGAACCGTTTTTTTATTTTATTTTTCTCCAATAATCCAATTCTGTTTACAACGACAAAATCAGTGTAATACCATGTCAATTTGGGATCAAATAAGAACAAAGATACAGCATAACAACAAAATAGATAGATAATAGGTATGAACTAAGATACTTGAGACAAATAAAATTAACAACTGCATAAATATTTAGGTAGTTAGGATTATCACCCTAGAATTACCATTTTAAAGGGTGCGCAACAGAAAGAACGAAATCCATTAGGAAAGTTTCATAAATAGTTAGGTAAACTTAACTTAGATATATTCATAAAACTCGTAATTAAAATCATATTTATTTTTTGTAATGTACCTAAATAGGTAAAAGGATTAATTAATATGATTCGCTTGCCTTTGAGAGTTGTGTTTTACTATTTATTATTATAGTTTTGAAAATTACGTTTCATTCTGAATAAAGGCAGTTCAATTTACCCAGCACATAGTACCTCGTAAGTCTTGATAACGAAACTGATATAAGATTCATTTTTTAAAACAGAAAACAATGCTGAAAAAATAAAAATAGTATCTTGCGGATTTGATACCAAATTCGAAATCATTAGACATTGAAAGCGCAGGATCACATACCTCATACTACATACTGCCATACAGGCATATATATATACATATATATATATAATATAATATGCCTATACAGAAGAAAAGTAAATGGGCGCGTATGTATGTTTTCCCTTTTATAAATAGCGAATTCTATGTAAGGAGAGTACACGGTCCCCAGTATGAATGCCTGATGAACAATTCAATTACAGTAAACAATTTGTATTGTATGTAAATAAACGCTAAAAAACGATTTAATGGTCTCAACATCTGTTTTAAACAGGTATCCAAACTAATGAAAACAAACTTTGCAAACAATTTCTTAACATTTACTATAGTACATACACAAATATTGTAATGTGTATTGTACTTACGAGGTATGTTGCTTAAACACTGCGTGAAGAATCACATAAAGCACAACATAGTACATGTAAACAGATGTGAACCGCTTTAATAGGCAATGAGAAAGCGCACGACCATCCGGATAACTATTGATGATGAGAACTAAAACTCAGGTACACCTTCAAAAATTTATATTTCTACCGGAGTTCATACTAGCTGATAAGTAATACGGAACTCCATGGTGGGAATTCTCCTTTATCTCGTCACGGCAAAGCGATGAGCCGTATTCAGTGTTATCGGACCGAAATTTTCACACTGAAAAGTGGTATTTAGTGTTGAAAACCACACTTTTCCTGTGAATATTTTGTTGCAGTTCACGTCAATGAACGTCACGATAACACGACCTCCCACACACGAACCTCTCAAACGACTAACCAGGCGCGCAGGTCCGCGTTCTCTCTTATAATCCACTGAAACAAAGGCCAACTCGATGCAGCAATCAAGCGGTTTCGTATACCGCTACGAAAAGTTAAGAAGAAGCCTCACAAAAGCTCCTCTTCTTCAGTTGTCATCAGTCACGTGTGTCAGGTGTCTTTTCATTAAAACCCACTCGTACACTCGTCTGTGGGTCTTCTCATTCCACAGCTTGGGGACACGTTTTATTACTCAGAGTTGACTTTATTATAATCAGATGCTTTCTATATTTAGGCTTCTTACCACTTCAACAACTTTCGAACGTGACCTCCCCCTGAACGATAAAAAAAAATATGCACGAAAATGATTTAAGAGTCTGCTGTTTAAACACGAAGGGTCTCATTATCAGCACTCGTTATTAAGCTTTTAACCTTCGCTGATAATCAGGAAATATCGATCGAAAGGATTGTTTGATTTGTGATTAAAGCAAATTTAAAAAATAATTAGGTCATAAAATACGCAGTGAGTAGAGATGGGTCGGGTACCTACCTGGTTTGAATCCGATTTTTCGTAGAATCCAACGGAGTACCGGATAATGACGCTGAGTACTCTGCAATGCAGCATAATTCTACCAGAAAAAACAAAGAAAAGGGCATGTAAAACAGAAGCTCTGGTACCAGACTTGTTTGGAATACTTAATTTCCACAAAGATAACATACTACCATATCTGACTGCTAGTATCATAGGTTCACCNATTAAGCTTTTAACCTTCGCTGATAATCAGGAAATATCGATCGAAAGGATTGTTTGATTTGTGATTAAAGCAAATTTAAAAAATAATTAGGTCATAATATACGCAGTGAGTAGAGATGGGTCGGGTACCTACCTGGGTTGAATCCGATTTTTCTTAGAATGCAACGAAGTACCGGATAATGACGCTGAGTACTCTGCAATGCACCATAATTATACCAGAAAAAACAAAGAAAAGGGCATGTAAAACAGAAGCTCTGGTACCAGACTTGTTTGGGATACCTAATTTCCACAAAGATAACATACTACCATATCTGACTGCTAGTATCATAGGTTCACCAATATACGAGTTGGCAAAGTATTTGAGTTAACATTCATCAGCGACTTATTGGAAAATCAAACTCGTACATCAAGGACTCAACATATTTTATCAACAAACATTAAGGACATAAGGTGAGAAACAGAAGATATACCTTCAGCTATGATGTGACTTCTCTAATTACGAAGGTACTGCTCAACCAAGCAAAAATAGAAAATTTTACCAAAAGGCATCACTAATTTTTTTTTGGAGTTAAGCCTAACCACGACATATTTTTTTTTTAAAATGAAACATCTACGAACAGATTGATGGGATGACTATACGAAGTCTAGTAAATCCGGTAATTGCAAATTAATTTATGAAGGGATTGGAACAAGGAGAAAAATAAAAGACCAACAACAAGTATAACAAAAAACACACCTAATGAAAATTGGTAATTAAGAGTAATTAAGTATGATTTTGTCTTGTTAAAACTTCGATAAATAATAAGAAAGCTACTAAACACTTGAATAAAAGCCATACAGTAGGCGTTTTCAACTTTATTTTGTTAAAAACATACCTATTTAAGTATCATAAACTATATTCTTTTGCAAAATAAGCCATACTATCTATCTATTAAATTGATTGTTTGGAAAAATATATTCTAAACGTGAACCAAATTATGCATTTTTGCTAATGCTGCACAAAGGAACTAGAGATGCACCGGTCAGTGATTTTGCCGAAACTGGAAAATCACTTCCGTTAATGGCTCACGTCTTTGTTCTAGCGAGCTTTCTATTAAATATCACCCTTGCCAATGTCCCGAACCATTCATTAAGTCCCTTCACTAAACCAATGAAATTTTAATTTTAGGTTGCCGGATTTTTAACCAGACGGTTGAGTTCAAACCGTTAAAATGAGCCTATTCATGAATATGAAAAGTCTGGAAGGTGACAAAATCATACTAAAAAGTTATCGCTAATTGAAACTCATTTATTACAAGCGACAGAAAGTGTAACAGTTCGGTCATTGACTATACTAGTGCATTCTTCTTTACGACAAAAAGTAAACACAAGAACGGGTACCCAGGATCACTATCTGGTACTGGGGCGGATACTCAAAAAAGTGCCGGAACTATCGGGTACTCACTCCAAACCGGGTGCTCGGCCCATCTCCAAAAACACCCGACAAAAGAATGTGTGATTTCTATATTCGGTGAACGTAGTTTCCATAGTTTTAGCCTATCTATCCATATAAATAAAATAGTTACATTATATAGAATAAAACAATTTTTTGACTTGATTTCTAGTTTTCATTATACTGCGCATCATTCTCAGTTACTTACTTTTGAGCAAATATAGATTCTTTTAAACTATTATGCACAGAATCCTTAAACTTACTGATAAATATCTTTTTAAAACACTTGATTGCTAAATTCAAAATACTGAACTTGATCATAAATTAAACTATATATGAAGGACAAGATTTTTAAACTTTTAGCTTTTCATCAAAATATATATTTACGCACAACGGGATAACTTTTATCTGAAATACTGAATATCTCCAAAATAACATAGATAAACAAATGCTGTTAATAATAAATACACAAAAGTAAACAGATATTTCGTATATAATGATTTATTGAATTGTAACATTTCATGCCGAGTTGATATTCCGAAAACTGTCGATTCTGTTGCTTTTTTAAATTTATATTTTATTTAGTTTGTTGCCTTCAATAGAAGGAAGTATAAAACGAGATTGAGTTTGAAGTTTTTCTTATCGACATTCTCGTAGTTTACAAATAATGTTCTTTCATTGCGATGAACACGGAAGAAGTTCAGAAACTTTATAATTTAAATGACTATTCAATTTTATTACGAAAGTTTTTCGTAATGCCTTCAAGTTCAAACAGCAAATTTCTATTATGTAATGCGTAACTCATTTATTTCAAGTTTTGGAAGAAAAGATTACGATTCTTCTTTGTTCTTTTGTTTCTTAAAAGGTAACGTGGAAGACCATTAGAATCAAGTATGCGCATCTATCAAATTAAAACGTAATTTTTTTTGTACGAAAGATAAATCTATTTGTGCTTTGTGCTTTTAACTAATAAACCACGACCGATACAGGAAAATTCATACAAATATATTCACCCATCTTTTCAAATAAATTAATGATGAAGTGATAATAAATTCAATTACGTAGGTCAGTTAGGCACCGTAGATCTTCGAACATGCCCTTCAGGTGTGCACCGAACGAAAACTGGGAGGCTTAAGCATCCCCTACTGAAGACAGGTAGGCAGGTATAATATATACATACACAATAACAAATAACTCCATTGAGTACCGAGAAGTACCCTTCTGGACAAATTAATATGACAATTCAATAAGTACAATTTAGAGCTTTTGGTTGTCGAAAGCGTAGATAATGGACCTTTAAATACGTTTTATGTAGAAATTAGTGGTGCGGTACTTCGTTTCGTGTAAATTAAATGTTCTGGAAATGATGGAGTATGGAATCGTACAGGTAATAATTAAACAAAATAAATTACAAAATGGTATAATCGTCAAATATTGCCTTTATCATAAAGCTATTTTTATCGCAAATATATTATGTNCATATTCCTACAGGATCTAGCATTTGTTACGAGACGTGGGCAAGAGAATACAGAAGGATAATTACTAGGTTTGTATAAGTACTCACGCGATTATTAAAGGATCTGTAAATTATTATTTTAATTTTTGTAGATATGCCAGAAACATTAAAGCTATTTTTAACGGTCATACTCATAAAAACGAGTTTGAACTATTTTACAATACTTCAGAAAGTTCAAACCCTATATTAATGGCGTTTAATGGCGAATTGACAATAAGAAATTTTTATGTTGCATCGAACACCAGCAATTTTTTAGAGTTTATTTAACAGGTAATCGTTCTTGCACTAAGAAGATTGATTTAAACAGACCACTAGTGTAAAAAAGCCATTGAACGTTATAAAGTTATATAACAGACATTACAAAACAAAAAAAAAGACAAATAAACTTGTTAATAGAAGGACGTCATCGGATTTCGAACTTCTAAAGAGGATTATTATTACCAACTAATTAAATTTCAGAGATTTAAAACAGCAGAGACGATTACACTAATGTTATATGCATAAATCTGTTTAAAATCACTTGCTGCAAGTTAATTTTAAACTTCTAGAGATTCGTATTATACATGAACGTCTGTCTGTGCAGAGGATTTTATGTCTTCATTTGTGTAAAATGTATTAAATTATGCTGAACTATTTCCATTTTTGTACTGGTGCAATTTCGAATATCGAATTGTTTATAAAGAAAGCTGTTGAATTTTGGATTTGTATAATAATCATTTAGTTTTGCCAAATCGCTTTTAGAGATTGGCTTTATTCTACGGAAATTCGTAGACTTGAAATATTATAAATGTTTCATAATTAAATCAATTAATAAAATTATTCAATCAAAAGAAAGGACGTAAAGAATTAAATTCCAAGACAAAGAAATATTAAGGACAACTTTGTTACTCCAAATTAGATTCTTGAATAATTATGAAATGATTAAGAAATTGTACTAATAATAAACTGAAATGTTACCAAAGAACTAAACGAGTCTAGGAATCCCATCATGGGCGTCATCAAGGGGGGTTGGGGGTGCAGCTGTTCTAGCACCTCAAAAGCAGCTTATCAAATTCCAAGTTGCCTGATTTCTAATTTTTGGGACACACATATGCGTGTTAGTACATGTCCTAAAAGTAAACTCGATTTCATGTATTCTCAGTTGCTAACAATGACATTTCATGCAACAATTTCTTGATTTATTCCAGTTCTAAATGATTTCTACAATTTACCAAGCAATCGTATTGCATTTAACAGTAAAAATTGCATATTTCTCATGACCACACAGCATTTGCTAAAACTGAAGGCCGAGCCGTCGAATTTTATGATAGGGACGAATGTCATTAGTCATTATTTTTGTCAAAGGAAAACACCAAGATGAAGGGTGAAGAATGAGGATAGAACATTTAGACTTTCAGATACAAGAATTGAATACAATACAATTTGGTCATTTTTCAATCAATTTCTCAGTGGTTTGTTACCATTTTCGCCTGTTGGATCATCATTTATTTATTTAGGTATCTACAAATAACCTAAAGGCTAATTGAGAAGATTAAGGAGTTAAATACAGGGCAATACAACTTTTTTAAGTATACAATCTTACTTTCAGTTATTGGTAATTGACCATGATAAATTAATTTTAACGATTAGGTGAAATTACTATGAATAAGGAAAGAAATAAAATAAAACTGAAACAAATCAAATCAAAAATTACAAAACTTAACCATTTTTAAAACCGTCAAAAGTCACGCAACCTTGAAAATAATAAAAATGTTTTACTTTTCATTTGATTTTTAAAGAGATTCAGGAGTTACAGTGTGAAAAGGTTAGTTTTGCAAAAATGCATATTAAATTGTACGATGCACATCTGCAAAATTTGACTAAATTATTATAAAGCCTTCGTCCAAAAAATGAAATCGAACTTTGGACACAGTTCTGGAAAAATAAACCCAATATTAGTGAGCTTTCCGCTGCTGATGTATTAAAGGACATAAAAGCCTTCTTTGTTCTTTCCCGAAATTGGTAAAGCTTTAAAAATTTTGATCGCTTTATCGTGCACAAAGTATATCATAGACCCGTAGAGCATAGAGGAATCCTTTAATAGCCTGATTGTCAGCTAAAGGTAAAGTATAGTAACTCTTGCGGTTAGTAATTTTCATAACTTTTGTCTAGTACTTACTGTTTGTCAATATGTATTTATTTTTGTAACTTATTTGTATTAAATACACAAAGTACGTGGGCGATGCTTTTTACAGGACTTCACGTGTTGCGAACTTTATTGAAAATGTGGACTTAAGCTACTATTTTAAGACGTCAGCAACTTTATGTGGCTTCATCTGTTGTTGTTAAGACGTTTTGAGCACCTTTTATTAACCTGTTTTATTAAAGTGTAAAAAGGATTAAGAAAAAAAAAAGAAAAATACTTCGTAACTTTTTAAACTTAAAGAGACTTTCCACTTCTTCTTATCTTGAATGAATCTTCGTATTATTTGAAAAATACAGCAACCGACATCTTTAATTATATATGAACTCTACCTTTGACCCTTTTGACAACTGCTTTTTCTTCTGATATGTCTCTAACTAGTCCTTCATGTCTCACAAGGTGTCCTATCAACTTAACTGGCCTATTTCTTATCGACTCCTATAACGCGCTCTGTTCTTCTACTATTTCTAATACGTCTTTATTTCTAACTTTTTCTATTCATGGATTTTTTAAGATACTTCTGTACCGCAACGTTTTAAACACTTTTTAATTTTTCATTTCCGCAGCGTCCACTGTCCAGGATCTTTCACATCTACACAAAAAGCCGTGCTCATACACATTTAATAAACATTTTTCGAACTTCCAAATTAACCTACAGCGAAGCACAAGAGCGATTCGTTTTTATTGAAAAGGACTAAAAGCGTTCTTTCTTTTATCATTTTCTTGAGTTATCTGACTCCCTAAATATCGAAAGTCGTCTCTTAATTTTATATTAGCTCTGACCACACATTTACATTTTCGTTTTGTTTTTACTAATTTTTATGCTCTACCCTTGTAAAATATTTTGAAAAATTGACTAGACGAGTTAGTCGCAGAAAAGCATGCAAACGGCCATTTGACAGAGAAAATTCGAGAAACAATAACTGGATTTGTGAGTGCAACAAAAAATGCATTACTTTTTGACATGGATAAAACATATGGACAGCGATGGGAATGACAAATTTTAAAAATTTGCAGAACACCCGCATTTCTTTTCATCACGATTCACCTCTGTATTTCTCCATATTTTGAAAGATTTCTTTTTTAATTTTTATTCGACGAAAGTTATTATTCATTTGAAACGCTTAGGCGTAATTACTTTTTATCAATTCGTTCAATCATCTTGTATAAATTTTTATTTATCTATAGAATAACAAGATAATTCAACTTGTTGCACAAATTTGTCTTAATCACGAATAAGAAAGTGTTGTAAGTGACAGTTTGAGTGCATCTTATTAGACAGAATAAAACCAATTTAGACTTGTACTTTACTTCAGTTTATCATCATGAGACCGAAATTGCTTCTGTTTGTAGTTTCATTTACAATTGCTACGTTTGCGCTTTCTGAAAGCTCAACGTTACAATCTTTAAGTGAAGGTAAGTAAAATTAACATTTCACTTCAAGTTTATTACACAAAAAAATGCAATTTGTTTTGGTACTAATATAACATTAATTTAATTGTATCTATTTTACTTAACGTTTCTACTGTATATACCTAACGAATACCTAAATAGGTACAAGAAATTATAAGTTTACAAACGATTTAATTGACATTCATAATTACTCTATCTAACAAATAGTGGGAAATATGTAGTCAAACATATTAAACTATAAAAAATGATAACAGACGTAATTAATTTTACGTTTTCGGTTATTTTAATGGGAAATGGGAGGAAGAAGGAGCTCAGCCCTCCCACTAAGAGTCCCCCTCTTACTTTTCAACATAATTTTCAAAGATATATTGACGAGAAAAAATTAGTTACAAATGTTAATATTTTAGGGGAAAACGAGAGAGAAATAACGATTCAAGAACAATAGCAAGCCTTAAAATACTACGAGATCACTTCACATACCTTGTTTTTTTTGTGCGAACCTCCCACTGGTTATCCTAATGGGTGTCTAATCCTATATTCTATCACCACGCTAGGACATACGAGGGTTAACCTGCAATAAAAAATATAAATGACAAAGAAGTATTTCCTATGTCATTCACCAAAGTGCTATACTAAATTTTTTTAAAAAAGTGTAATAATATATATGTATGCACCTAAAATACTTAACAATTGAAATTTATTTGTACTTTTAATTACAAAAATCTTTATTTCACTTCAAAAAATATCTTTCGAAATATTTAGATACTGTAATCCGAACGCTCCACAGATCCGAACACAATATAAATTTTGGGTGTTTGGATTATCGAGGCCCTACTGTATTTTGTTTTTATTCTCATTTAAGATGTGGCAGAAGCAAAACTTCAAAGAGCTTTTAACAGTTACTTCCTTAACAAGGACGACAGCGCTTTAAATGAAATGATTGATCAAATTCAGATGCCCGAGTTGATGAGGGAATACGGTGAAATCACGTCGTTCGGCATAGGAAACAATCTTGTTTGCACAGCGTGCAGAACATCCCTGGATGCCCTTCTTCTTGCTAGGAAAAAGGGAATAACAGAAGACGAACTTTTCGTCTTGCTTTCGAAACTATGCATTGACATGGGTATTCAAACTGAAACCGTTTGTTACGGTGTCTTAGAAGAGCATTTAGTAAGTGCAACATTTTATTTCTATTAATAAAAGTACGCTGTTGATATTACTTCAAATATTCTTGAAAGTTGTAATATCAATAATTTTCTTTAGGTAATTTAATTTTTGTTTACGGCAAAAACTGCTATCTATTACCTTTGTTTACGGCATTTAAAAACTTCAATAAAAAAACTACGAAATGTTCTTTTCCCAAAGTATATGAAATCAATTTCAATTACAATCTTTTGCAATATAATTCATCTTTTAATTTAACGTTTTAAATTATACCTATACTTTCATAGTTCTTTTACTCTAGGGTATTGGTTTGTACATAGCCGATAATGGGCAAAATGTTACGGGGAAATGGGCTTGTTCACTTATACTACAAAAATTGAACTGTCCGAAAGTGGCCGGTAAAGATTGGTCGATACAGTTGGATAATCGATATGGTCCAGAACTATCAGAACAGGTAATTTTTAAATTTTACTTACAGTGCAGCAAAAATGATTATTAAGTACAAAACAAAAGTTGTATCATTTGGTATTATAGATTAGAAAATTAACTAAAATGTTTCAACATAAATACGTATAGGTATAAACCACGCATTTTTTTCAGCCAAAGTTTCGTTTTTATTCCCTTAAAACTTATAATTATGTAAGTATTCCTAATGTTAATTTGTAACTTGATACGTTAATGTGTTAAATTAATCAATTTATTATTTATTATCACATTTTTTCATGAGCATATAGATTACTAATTACCTTTATAATAGAATTATAAGTTGTTCATATTCAGTAATTACGAAATTTCATGAGGGACTACCATACTTTTAGATAGACTGTTAATTTGTGGACTATTACGAGTAGCAGTAATGTAAATGAATATTGCAAGGTAATTGATAAATATTGACGGTGTTAGTACGTATATTGCTACTGATGAAGCAAAAATGAAATCCGCGAAACGTTGCGTGAAATTATAGCAAATTATTAACTAACCAAATCGATTTCTTTAAACAATTTTGGTTAAATAAAATAATTGTTTGGAGTTGAAGGTTTTTTAAATAATTCCTTCAAATTATTCAGGTAAATTGGTTTGTTCCAGTATTCTTCAAATATAGTTAAAATCCTTCACATTTCTGATTTACACTATGATGCAATGTATACTCCAGGAAGCAATGCTGAATGTAATAATCCTGTTTGTTGTGGCCCAGACTCAGGGAAAGTTGCAAATGCTTTAGCTCAAGCTGGTTACTGGGGAGATTATAGGGATTGTGATACACCATGGCATAGTATCGTAAATACATTTGATAATATCAAAGCGACACAGCAGGTTGGTAGATTTTCTTTTTTATTTTATATCTTGAACGGTGAACCAATACTCTCTTATTTATAAAGAAAACAAACAGACGATGAAAAAATCATTCACAGAGGAAATGAAAAAGGGTGGTTTACGAAACTTATTTTCCCCAAAATAATTATTTTTGCTAAGTAATGAAATCAAAAGCAAGAAGAACGAAAAAAAGAAAAGAAAGAATTACATTTTCTGGAAGAAAACAGAACATTATCATATAATTAAGTTCTTGTTTTCTTGCTACACCTTTATTTTTACGATTTTTGTAATGCATCCTTTATTTTATATTTCTTTATTTATATTTTTTTAATTTTCATGAAATATATCAATACAAACTTCAAAGTTGAAAGAACAATTTTTATCAATAGAAAACGCTTAAAATTAGTACGATATTTGTTTTGATAGGATGAGTATTGTGTTACTACTAATAAATCATCTTAATACACAAATAAAAGTTTCTTCTTTATCATATGGGTGGGATATAGAAAAAAATAAAAATAACAATAACTTGGGCTTGCAATCTATTATGTTGAGGAAAATTACATTAATGAATTAAAAAATGCCTTGTTTTTTTGTTTTTACATTGTTGACATATCAAGCGGTTATCTATATCATTATTATGATTGTTTTGTTAAAAAGATCAATATATACTTTACTTTTCCGTAGAGATTCTCTAACAAACGTTAGTTAAGGTAGTTATATTTCATATAAGTACGAACGAACAATGTTTTTTATCGTAATTACGTAATTCTTATCAATAATTTTTGTTGGATCTGGAAGAAGAGATACTATTTCATTTTCTTTTATCTTTACCAGTAAAGTTCATTTAACTGAAATTGATTTTCTACCGTTTGCTGCAATATAGACTTATTTTAAGAAGGAATGACAACATATACGTACATAGGTGCTAATTTAATAACGGTGGCATTACTCTATCATGGTAGGTTTTGTTAAATTTATTTGTGCACTGTAAACAGTAAAGTTGCTGAACGAAAATAAAACTGCGTTTGCTTTTCACTTCTGATAGGTATGATAAAAGTACAGCAAACACAAAAAGGCAGTTTACGTTGAATCCGTTAAAACATAATATTATTGACTATAAAACTATATACAATTTGTTGATTTCTTATGTAAAGCGCATTCACCAATTTTCATTTAAATTAAAATCTCATTGAACATCTCGAATTTGTGGAAATGATGAAACCAGACAAACCGAAAAAGTTAAAATCGACTAATCTCAAGCCGCTTTTCTCTTATTGGAAAATTAGGAACGTTGATTAGTACGTTAGTACCTACACACGGTCAAATATGTGCTGCAATTTTGCACATACCTGATAAAAGTTCATTAAAACAATTAATAAAACATCCCTAGATACTATGTCAGACATTATAATGATCAGCTAATTTCAATATTGTACTATCAGAGGAGATAGTTGCAGCGATTTTGTTCACGAAGCAAAAAATTGAAATAGATCGCCCTTAAATTACATGAAACATTCAATTTTAAGTTATTTTCTATCTATTTAATTTAAGTGTAAAATTATCAGTTTGTATTTTTCTTACATTACTAAAACGTTTTACAAATTACTCTACTGCAGAATCTATCAATGAATAATGTTTTGTTTATTGTTTATTTAATGCTCTTATTGTTTATATAATGTTCAAACTCAATAAGAGCTAGAAAAGATGTGCAGATTGTAAACTAAGTTGCGATAGTGTCAAAGTCTATAAGTATAAGCCCAACTGGCAGAAGTTTCAAAGACAGAATAAAAGAACATAAATAAATTCTGAAACTGAGAACTTACGCAAATAATTTAACAGAGAATAAACCTACGTTTAATGAAAATTACAAAATTCTACATGTAGCCAAGGTTAAATCTATTCGAAGATCTTGAAATTCATAAATTAAATAATTAAATGGGTTAAGATTAATCATTAATGTCCAAGGAGATGTTGATCATTGCCTATTGTTAAATATTTATTACTTTTTCTACCTGATAAAGTCACTGTATGGTGAAATGGACCTACATTGTGGTACAATAAATACGTCGTAACTTATTTTGCGTCTTTTTTATTATAAAAATTATGTTTATTTTAGGATCTAGCATACGTTTATTTAACTGGTGATATTATTAGTCACAGAGTTTGGATGACTTCTAAGTCAGACAATACCAAATATCTTTTAAAAGGGTATAATCTTATCGACCAGTATTTTTCATCAAGTCAAATTTTTCCGATATTAGGAAATCATGAGCCCCATCCATTAAACCAGTAAGTATATGTAAATAGGTACTTCAAATCAGCCTAAGTATTTACAGATTAACTTTTCCTCTATTAAATAAATAATATTGCAATAATAACATTCTTCAAATACTTTATATGTTTTAAAAATACGGAATTTAAATGTGTCGATTTCCATTACTTTGCGTACACATTTTTCTTTAAATTTTGTAATTATTGTTGTTAAGCTCTTTCATTAATATATTATATTAGGTATGCACCGGAAAGTATAACGGGGGAGTATAGTACTAAATGGTTATTTAGCTTAATTCAGCACGAATGGAGTAAATGGCTTCCTGAAAGTACTTATGAAACTATAAAGAGAGGAGGATATTACACAGTTAAAGTAAACAACAAATTCAGAATTATTGCATTAAATTCTAACGTGTGCTACACTGCCAATTTGTAAGTATTTGTATTCATAATAAAGTATCAAATTACTTATTTATTTAAATAAATATTAGTTCTTCCCCCCTATCAGTCACTGTGATTCACTTTTGTGAACAATTTGTTTAATCACTTTCTTTTGTTAAAAATTGTTTGAAAAATTAAATTTAAATGAATTGTTTGTAAATAGGTATGCAACACATCGTTCACTTCAGCATAAGAAATTGCTGATACTAACTACGTAATGCTACTTTGCCCTGTGCTGACAGCACTCATAATTTCTTTTAGCATAGGGAAATTTTCTACCCTTAAAAATAAATTTTATTACACATCATTTTAAAAAAATGTCATTTTTTATTAACCCTTAGCTGGCTCTTATACGACAATGGAGATATTTACGGTCAATTAAAGTGGTTACGAGATGTACTGTCAGAAGCCGAAATGAATAGCGAATCAGTCCATATTTTAGGACATATTCCTACAGGATCTAGCATTTGTTACGAGACGTGGGCAAGAGAATACAGAAGGATAATTACTAGGTTTGTATAAGTACTCACGCGATTATTAAAGGATCTGTAAATTATTATTTTAATTTTTGTAGATATGCCAGAAACATTAAAGCTATTTTTAACGGTCATACTCATAAAAACGAGTTTGAACTATTTTACAATACTTCAGAAAGTTCAAACCCTATATTAATGGCGTTTAATGGGGGTAGCTTAACAACTTACAGTGATTTAAATCCAAATTATATCGTATATAATGCTGACGCAGAATCTTTAGTAAGTAACAAAAGTTAATTTACAAAAATGTTATTTAACTTGCAAGTAGGTACCTAAAATCACACCACAGCACCACAGTTTTGATTTATGGATTATAAAAAGAAGTAATACAAATCTTGTTGATTTTAGGATATTTTAGACGCTGAAACGTATATTTATAATTTAACTTCAGCAAATCTCGCAGGTCGAGATTCAGAACCTGAATGGTATAAATTGTATTCATTCCGAGAATGCTATGGAATACACAGTTTACGAAGATCAGAATTAAATAACTTTGTCGAAAATATGGCAAAAAACAAGACCACGAAACAATTGTATTACCGGTAAGATAATATTATCCTTTGAGTTTTGAATATCAAAACACACATAGACAAGTGTTTTGAGTAGCATTGGAGATCTGCTCTGCCTTCTTGCTTCTGCCTAATGCTACTTGTATGTATGCTTCTGATTGAGTGTGTAATTATCATATAATTACATTAACAACTAACGAGTAGAATATACAATATAGTGATCCTTCTTATCCTTGCAATTCAAAGCATGTACACTCTAATTTGTTACTTACTTTATTTTTCAATAATTTTTCTTAAAAATAAAAAAAAACAGATCATTATCATCAACTTTTACTTTGTAAATTAACCATTTTCAAAATAAATACTTAATCGTAGTAGATAGTTATATAGTTATACCATTTAAATGCGATTTAAAAAAAAAATGATTTTTCATTTAGGAATAAATACTTAAATTCGGACCCAATTCTAAAAGCTGGATGTGATGACAGTTGTTTAATGAATCATTTATGTGAAACCGTAACTTCGTTGTCTGGTGATACTTCGCACTGTACCAGATTACAAGAAATATGGGATACCGAAAATTAAATAGGTAATTTGTTTTATGTTAATCAAGTAAATACGTCAAAAAATAAAATATGTTTTGTATGAATGTCCTCTCATCTGTTTACTTTAAAAGTAAATATTGCTAAGAATTATTTATCATACAAAAATCGCAATTTGAAACTGTTAGCACCATTGCTTCGAGTGGTCGAAATTCATTTTTGTGAACAATTTGTTTGAAAAACGTTTTGATTCTAATTGTTTATATTCATGCGCTTTAAAGCATTGATATCAGTGACAGCAATAGTTAGAGAGCAAGAGTTGGACTTTGCCCTGTGCTAAAAGCACTCATAATTTTCTTTATATAAATAATTAAAGAAAGTTTTAGCTCTACGTATATTCGTATTGTCAATAGTCGGCCATTTTTATTGCTCCACTATGACGTAGTGTCGGCCATCATTATTTTCTAATTGTTGCTGTTGTCGGCCATCATTTTTTTAATTGTTGCTGTTGTCGGCCATCATTCTTTTCTAATTGTTGCTGTTGTCGGCCATCATTCTTTTTCAATTGTTGTCGCATTGT